TAATACTGACCTTTTATTATACTTTGCAGAATTCAGTAAGTAAATATAAAAGTTTTGTAATATTTGTGAGTAAGTTCTTGATGGTAGTTTAGTTGGAGCTTTGTATAATATGTTATAGTCCCTACGATACATATACAAGTACAAGTATATAACTCCATAATTATAGGCATACATGACCGTGAATACACACACATACAAACATACTTATTTGGGTATACTCTGGTTATGCAATGAACTTAACTAACTTACAGCTCAATATGTCAGCGAACTACAAGTATATATGAATTTCTACTTCATACATATATTGGGCGATGTCGTACGAGATGCATATTTGCCACATTTCGGTCAATTTGATTTTTTTTTTCAATTAAACAAATACCTATACTACTTTTAATCTTTAAAAGTCATTCAAACTACACATTTATGTATATACATATGTAGTGCCAAGGTAGGATAACAGACGAAAGACTAATTACTGAAATAAAAGAAATACTATGTTACTTACAATAAGACTAAATACAACTCTGGACTGACTTTAGATTAACGAAAAGTCAACATAGCGTCAGAACGCTTGCGTACCGTTCCAAGAAGCGTCAGAAAGCTGGTATACAGTTTAATGAAATTCATTCTAATAGCTCAAACAGTCACCGACATTCCTCCCTTCCACACTTTCCGACCGTATCAAACCAAATCTGTCTAAAGTAAAGCCCGTAGTTGCAACGCAGAAATCAGTTGTTCTCTTTTGTTGTCATTTCACCAATGTTGACATTGTTCTATTTGTACCTATACAAGCTCAAAACTAAAATCAAACTAATAATAATAGTTTACCTTTTTATAAATTTAGAAATAAATGTATTGGACTGTGATTTTGAGATATTTAAAGAATAATTCAAACATGTTCAAGTTTATTTTCTAATTACTAATTTTTACGGGAAAATTCAGTTTTCGCGGATATGCGACCGTACGTTCTGTTGAAGCGGACGGTAGAAGCGGTGGTGGTGGTGAATGTCGGTAACTGTTTCAGATATAAGACCGACTGTAAACACGGACGCATCAATATATTACATTTACAAGCAATATCAACTTTCGGACTTTTAAAGCGTGTATAAAAATATCTATTATAAAAGATTCGTCTTGTATTTAGAATAAGAACATCAACGTTTCTAAATGGAAATAATTTAATAGGCAAAATAAAGACTTAAATCACACTATTTTTTGGTATTTGGTCATTGCACTAAATTTTAGAAGACCAATATAACAATTTAATCATGAATCGTTTTATAATTGCTGTAAGTATTATATATGATGTATTTCTCAAATTATGGAAATGTATTCTAAATGAAGGAAATATACAGCAGAAAGACAAAAAATATAAATATGTTTGTTAAAAAATCTGGTCTAAAATTTGAGATATTTATATCTACTCACTGACCAAGATGTTATATAAAATTTAACGAGCTTTAGTAAATTTATAATATCATGTAAAACAGCCAATATAGACCGATGCTGTAATTTAGTATGGTTATGGTTTAATGTATAGATTTAGTATCCATCGGATTATCTCAGATAGAAATCATTTAGATTGATAAATTGACTTGGTTATTATAGTTATATGTACTACTAAGTTTATCTAATTTTATCAGGCTCCTATCTTTTAATGACTACTTTTAATGAGCTGTGCCAAATATTTACTTGTTTGTGTGTGTGTACATATGTAACATGTATGCTTACGTATGACAACTCACATGTACTTATGTATGTAATGAAAAGATATATATGTATCGCTTATTTTGAATATTAAGGTGCATAATCATGGCATAAACTTTATTACAATATTCCTTATGGAGCTTCTTTAAACGCTTAATGAAGAGTGTGACTTGCTTATTTTTTATGGTTGGCTTTGTATTTATACCGATTTACGCTTAGTTGTAGCGTAGTCTTTTTTATTTTATAACTACACCTATTATACAATTTGCGTTCCAAAGTAAACAGTAAAAAGTTACAAAGTAAACATTAGTCTATCTATATGTCGACTAGTGCGTTAGAATCTGCTATCCTTTATCGACATCCAGTAAAAATCTATTGGAAGTGAAGTTATTGCGTTTTAAGTGTCAGTATGTTTTTGGCATCGGTGCGAAAATGAGCTTCGAACAAAGAGCCAACATTAAATTTTGTTTTAAAATTGGTAAAACTTTTACCGAAACGTTTCAATTGATGAAACAAGTTTATGGCGATGATTGCCTATCCCGTAGCAGAGTGCACGAGTGGTTTCAACGTTTTCAAGGTGGTTGTGAGGACATAAATGAGAATTGAGCCGAAACCCAAAAAATCGCGCCTGGAGAAGTCAAAAGTGAAGACAATGCTGATTTGTTTTTATGATTCCAAGGGTATTGTCCACAACGAATTTATTCCACCCGGCCAAACCGTTAATGCGGTATTCTACATTGATCGCGAAGATGGAAGTTGGCGTTTGTTGCACGATAATGCGCCGTCTCATCGATCGACGCTTGTTGCCGATTATTTGACCAAAAATCACATTTTAACAATCAACCACTTCCCGTATTCACCTGATATGGCACCGTGCGACTTCTACCTTTTCGGAAAAATGCATTTGCCGATGAAAGGAAAGCGTTATGCAGACGTGGAGGCCATTCAAACGGCTTGCACCGGCATACTGGTGGCCATACCGGGCAACGAGCTAAAACACTCGTTCGACATGCTTTTGGACCGTGCAAAAAGCTGTTTTAAAGCAGAACTATTTTGAATAAAATTAATTGATTTTGCCGATAAAACCATTTGTTCTGTCTTTTTTTTTAAGTCCGGTTTACTTTGGAACGCACCTTGTATAAGCTGTCTTCGATTGATCATTGCTCTGCTCGCTTCTGCCCTCTTGTCAAAAAATTTATATGTGGAAGCAACAACAAAATTATCAAGTTGAATTGAAGCAGAAGAGTATGCGAATACCTCATTAAAGTGGTATTATAGCACCGTTTTCACGCGAAAAGAAATAATTTCACCACTAAGAAAGAATCATAACACTATTTCTAATAGTGTCATTTTTAAAGCACTGAAATACAAACCTTTAAATGAGATGCAGATACTTAGAGTAATATTTTTATTGCTTTTGTTCATATTTATTTTTTAGAGTTAAATAAAGGAGAAAAACAAGGCGTTGCTTTTAAAACTCTACGGTATTAGAGTTGATCCATATCAGAAATATGTACACCTTACAATATTGTCTTAAATTCAGCTCAAACCTCGTTTAATTGGTATATGGTATATTTTCCCAAACATAAATTTTGCAAAGATTCAGCTTGTACTTTAAAAACTGGTTTATTCTTACCTTATTTGCACATACATATACACATATGTACGTAATTGACATATCTTAGTAGAATATCAAAATCTTCACATGAGAACATATCTGTTCTAATAATGCATAACTACAAATTCTAATGATACAATATATAGTTGCTCAATTTATTGATCAAATGTGCGGAACTTTTTAAATATTTCTTTGCCGATGGTAAATAAAATGTTGTACTGCGCTAAGACTACTACTAACATACTATTTCCACTCTTTGTAACTAGAGGGCCATCGAACTCACTTGCTTCCCTGAGTTCATTGCGAGTAGCTGTGCGTGAAAACTCATTCGATCAACTGTTTGGTAGAAACAATAATTCTTTGTTTAACATTAAGATGTTATTATTCTTATATTTTTTCATAAGTTCCATTTTTCTCATAAAATTGAATATGTTTAGATGAAAACGATATTAAAGGAAGCAAAAAATGGAAAATTTGCCATAAAAAAAACGGTCGCCATTACGAAAATGTCTTCTGTCTCGGTCACTGAAACGAAAAATAATCAGGATAGGTGCATGTGATAATGCGGTAGCAATCAATAAGCAGCTTCGGAAAAATTATCAGCTGCACGTTTGTAATGAAACAATTCACAATCTATTACACATCAGATGGGAGGCACCGGAAAAGTGAACCACTATCGATAATAGCATGTTAGGCCAACTCTAAAATTTGGTGTCGGTTTGGTGATGCTATGGGGTTATATGAATTAGAATGGGGTCGGAAAATTTGCCAAGATTCTACACCGAATGACCGCATTCGATTAAATTCAAATTTTTGATCACACCTCTTAGGAAGCTTGAGTCAATCGAGTCTCAACTTCAACTTTTCAACAGGATAATGATAAGCAAAAAAATGGGTTCAAGATAACTAAATTAAAGTTCTCGATTGGCCCCCACAGTCATCAGACTTCAACCCAATAGGACACCTTTGGGAGAAACTCAAAAGGTTCTTTACAAATTGCGATTCAGTTCCCCGAAATCGTGACGAACTTTTTCAACAAGTGACAGCGCACTGGAAAAAAATCACAATAGAAACCTGCCAGAAACTAATAAACAGCATGCCTGACGAAATAAGACCTGTTCTGCAAGCAAGGTGTGACTATACGAGTTATTACGATTAAACTCAAAGTAATGATCGAATTGCTTTATTTTGTTTCACTTTTTAAATGAAATACGTTTTGGTTTTTGAAAATGTTAACCTCCCCTTTTGTTAACAAAAAATCTTTCGATTTGATTTTGGTTTTATTTTGTCTTTATCCATGAATAAATTAACACACCGCAAACATTCGATCAATTGTTTGAGGAACTTAATAATCTGAAGCAGGGAAATTTCTTGATGACATTTTAGTTATGCCTTTTGAGCACAGATATGGATGTAGGTGCCTTTAGCTGAGTGAAATAAATGTTTTATGTTTTTAATGATTTGAAAACATTATGTTTTGTAGTGAATGTATGTAAATGACTTCCAAATCGTTACTTTGTCTGTTAGTTATTTTGTTTGTCACACTAAAAATAATAAATTTTCATAGTTCCAATTAATGAATTATTAGTAAAATTATGCTTTGTATTTCTTTTTCTTACATTTAAATCTTTCCACTCAACTCTAAATGGATAACGGTGTATTGGCAAATTAACAGCTGTTCATGATAGACAATTGTGCAGATGATTGGCGGATCGCAATGACATGGCAACGAATTAGTCAAATAAGTTTAGAACTTTTTATATGTGCAATTCATCCAATTCCTGGCGAATATTATTTCCAATGGACCACAAAATTGGCAAATAAAAATAAAACTATGGGCACCGAAACGGTACCTTATGATGTGGCGTTATCATTACCCATGTTCCTTCGGTTATATTTAATATGTCGGGTTATGCTTCTTCATTCGAAATTATTTACGGACGCATCGTCGCGGAGCATAGGAGCCCTCAACAGAATTAACTTTAATACGAGGTAAGATTATTTCATAAATTTACTTCACATTGTTGATTCCCATTTAAAGATTTGTCACATTCTATTTCTTATTGGTACTCCCACTCAAAGTCTAGAGTTCGGTGTCCAAGAAGATTTTCGCACAGAATGAAAGAGTTGACCCTAGCGCTCATCACTGTCTTTTTCAAGAATTTTGTCAGATATAACACTTTCAACTCGTTGGTATAATTCTTGTATCAGAAAGGGGTTTGCCTAAAGCTCACTATCGTGTTTGATTTCATAATTCAAATTTTCTAAAATATTCCGTTTTTCTCATGTTTTATGATAAGTGAATCTTAAATGAGCATCATAAACCTGTGAATATATCTCAATAATTAATGCTGCATTCAAACCAGGTGATTCTATCATGAACTAAATTTAACTAGAAGGGATTTACCCACTTAACTTTGCCTGAGTTTTGACATACACGTCAACACAAAATACGACTAAAAGTTAAATATACATATTATAAGTGCTAGTGCCTTTAAACTGTAATATAATTATTTAAATAAGTAAAATAAATATACAATACATGTGAAAACTAAATATTTTTTATATATGAACATATGTAGTAAAAAAAACTATTGTGTAGTTTTATGAAACCACGGTAAAAGTGAAACTTATTTTCTTATCGTAGACATTAAATTAATAATTTTTGGAATAATATTCTATTAAGGGTATTGAAATGGCATGATCATTAAAAGCTTTGATAACATCTGAAAAGACCAAGCGGTCGCACATATGCTCATATATATATAAATATATGTATATAATTATGTGTGCATCTAAACAAATATGAAAGAACGCATACTTTATGTAAGTATATCTGTCTACCAACAACATATGTACATATGTATGTAAATATGTATACTATTTGCTTCATGCGAACTCTCACGTTTTTTTGGTTTCATTTCAAAGAATCAATGTGTCGAAGCCAAATTTATAGTAAATCACACAACAACAACATTTTCATTCATGAACGCAGGCTTACTCTTATCAAGCGAAGTTGATTCATTCATAAAAGTAAACGTTATACACATCTTTCCGAGCATGTGTTTGCCCACAAGCGTTTTTTCGCGACGATGGCAAAAGCTAAAAATCATAAATTGAACAACTTTCTGATGTTCCTTCTTGAAAGGAAAAGTGTCAACCCGGCAAACGCTGGAAAAAGTGACAAAAATGGCAACATAGCTCTTGTCGATTTAAAATATTTTACAATTTTAAAATATTTTTATATGGCTCGCAAAAATCTGCGTCGATATACATATATGCATGCTCATACAAAAACATACATATTTACAATGGTTTATTGGCAAAGCTGTTAGAGCGGCAAGGGAAGCGGTGACAATCGGCAATCGTTCGTTTGTTGTTTCCGACACAGCTCGGATTTTGTACCAACAACACAATGTTGTGACGCTTTGTCGTCGCGTGAGTCGCTATAGCAATTTGGCTGTCATATTGACATGTGTGTGTGCTGCTTATGCTACTTGAGACGATTGTTGTTTTTGTAGAACAATGTTTGTAATTTTTGCCGGTGACGTATTTACATGTGTACGCATATGTGTACGTAGGTTTGTGTATGCATTATTTGTTCGGCACATATGTATGTATGTGCTATCTGAACCAGGTGGAATAGGGAAATAAAATTTATGAAGTTTTTATTTAATTATAGAATTACATTAATTTAATAAAATTACTTTCATTGAAATAAGTTGTATTTATGTTCAATTTCAGATTTGTTCTAAAGACTTTAATGACAATTTGTCCTGGTACGGTGCTACTAGTTTTCATGGTATCCTTATGGATTATTGCTTCATGGACTTTGCGACAGTGTGAAAGGTAACGGATTCCAACTACCTTAAGATTAGTGTTTTCATGCATATTTTCTGTTTTGACTTTACTGCTTTTTTTAAAAACTTTGTACTTTGCATACACATTAATACACCCACTCAGACTAAAGGCAATTTATGGTTACGAGTATATGTACACCGCGTGAATTCACCACACATGTTATATAACCAGGTCATGAATTGCCCTTATATATTTTGTAACACCATATATGTATATGTACATAGTTATAAATTAATTTGTTAGTTTCACCTTCTACAAACAAAAGAATTACAAGTTCACACTATCAACATAGGTAGATATGTATGTATAAGTATAAAAATGCCTGCTAAGAGACAACCGCTACCTCCTACTTAGAGCAGAAATGTTAAAAATAATTAAATTACAGATACCTTTGCGAAATATATTTTTTTATTCAATATAATCTACCTTAACTTCAATACACTTATTCCAATGAACCTCCAATAATTTTATGCCATCTCTATAATGACTATTTCTGGAAGCTCTGCCGCCTACGGCTGTAATAGCTTCTTCATTCAACGAAAAACGCTTTCCACGAAGGAATTGTTTCAGGTTTCTAAAGAGGTAGTAGTCGCTGGGAGCTAAATCTTGTGAATACGGTGGGAGCTTAAGCAATTCGTACTTTAATTCGTTGAATTTTGTCATAGTTAAAACACCTTTGTGAGCAGGTGCATTGTCTTGATGAAAAATAATTTTTTGTGCTGTACTCACTAATTTTTTCATCAAAATAGGCTGAACGCAAAGGCTGCATTAATATTCAGAGTTGATTGTTTTAACTTTCTGCAAATAATCAATCAACAAAATTTCTTTTCCATCCCAAAAAACTGATGACATAACCTTCTTTGCTTCCCCTGCTTTGGAGCTAAACAACCAGCATAAAAAGCTCCAAATTATGCTAAGAAATTTATTTTCGATCCAGTTTTTATTTTTTTTGTTAACGTGTGCTTCACTAACTTTCCAAACCGCTTTTTCATATGTAATTCTTCATGTAAAATATGAAGTACTCGTTCGTCTGAGATATGAACTTGCTCAATGATTTCTAGTGTAGTTGTTCACCAGCCCAAAATTCAAATTCGTTTTGGAGGTGAAAACTCCTTACAATTCTAACTTCTATCAATTTTTCATAAATTTCGGTTGCTTTTAAACCTTTCAAAATAAAGAATCTAATCACTAATAAAAAATACTCCGACACGTCAACTTTAAATGGCTTGTTAACAATGAATTAATTGACAGAATGACTTGTAGCTTTGCATGTGTTCTCACAACAGATGTACCAACTTGAGAAAAATTTGTAGCTAGTAGTGCTATTTCATGGCGAGAACAACCAACCTGTGTGTTACTATCAGGGCCCTATTAAGAATGAGGCGGTCCTGGGGTCGGGATACGCGTGGGCTCCTTTTTTGCGGTCATAATTATATACAATTCATTGAAAAATTGTTATTAATTATATGTTCATTAATCAGACGTCTTATTTCATAAGAAATACAGTAATCAATACTATGACATGTCTGCAAATTGCTTTCCTTTATTATTCGGTGAAAAAAACATCTCAATTGATTCGTTTTCTTCTTTTGTGTAGAGATTTGCAAAATTTTTGAGTTTGATTAGCTCATTTCCTAAGGGTGCTTCTAAGTCTTTGGGTATGTTTCACAAGTTGTTTTACGTTCAAGTCAATATCATCTGATTTCATGTATATTAGCTCACCAATAAAATAAAATCGTCCATAAACCAACTGGCAAACTTTTAAGTGCACTAATCAATTCATCAATGACTTTGAGAAAATCTTCCGTGGGAAATTTGTCCCTCGTTGAATGTTGCACCGGCGGTGCCTGAACACCTTGGTTGAAAGTGAAAATTCACGGATTTTAAATTTGATGGTGCTGACAACCCTTTTTAATACTTCACGCCAATGTCCGATCTTTTGTGTGATCTTTTTTGTGATTAATTTTTAACCTTTAAGATTAGTGATAAATCTAACTTACAAAAAAAAATTTGCTGATGTCGCATAGTTCTCTACATATTACGAATATATGTAGCTTTCTGTAAAATTTGTATACCCTGAAGAAGGTATATTAAGTTTGCCACCATTTTTGTAACAAACAGAAGGAAACGGCGGAGACCCTAAATGAGCAGCGTGACGAGCTCTCTGTGTATACGCGAACTACTCCTTCAGTTATTTAGATATCGATCTAAAAATTTGCACACGTTCTTTTCTCCCTAAGGAGCTTATTTGTCGGAACCGTCGTTATCGGACTACTACAGCTATATGCTAGTCATACAAACTGAACGATTGGAATCAAGTGCTTGCCCGGAAAACTTTATCATTTGACGAGATATCTTCACGAAATTCGGCAATGGTTATTGCCTAAGGCAATAAAGCAAAGTCCGAAGAAATTATTCAGATCGGATAACTGAGTCAAGTTCTTGCAAGGTATCTTTTGTCTTAGTGAAGGGTATTATAACTTCGATGCAACCGAAGTAAATGTTTTTTCTTTCCTTTTTTTACTTTTTCACATCGTTTCCGGAAATGACGTTCGAAATCAACATTGTTATTTTCTGGGAAAATATGCGATAAATTTCTAATTTATAAATTTTTGAATATTCTAATAAATATAAGTAACTTAAATATTATTTTGTAGGGGCATGTCGGTCCTGTCCTTAATCCGGCCTTGGTTACCAGCTTTCAACATTAGTAAAATATGAAAAGCTTTACAATATCGGAAATTATGGCGGCGCTTTGACATTTACTGCCAAAGGCAACTTCTACGCAGAATAAACGAAAACTGTACTTAACATTCTCACTCGACTTGCACATTTATTCTAAAACTGTATGTAAACATTGTTAGGCAACAGATTAAAAAAAAAAAAAAATAGTTATTAACACATGTAGTATTTTTCTGGCTTTCAATAGTCAGCTTTTGAAATTCTATATCATACCTATAATGAGTGTACATATACATATGTATATACAAATAGTGATCCATTTCGAGGTTTGCTACTTTTTTAAAGAAAATTCAATTTTAATGGGAATGTATTATAATTCACTACAACATTCTTTGACATTTCTTTTTTGAAGATTATCTCTTTCAAATGTTGGACATGGCTACGTCTCAGATGGTCCATCCGTTGAGTCCAATTTAGATGACTCATTCGAGCATTTCGACTGGTAATTGGCGAATGACACGCGTGATGTTTTACTCCAAAGCCTTAATCGTCCGCATAGACTTTGACGTTACATATCCCACAGGAAAACGTCTAAGTGCGGGATATCACACGATTTTGGCGGCCAATCGGCCGGCCTAAAACTGGAAATTATTTGTACGCTCAGTAGGCCGATTATGTTGACCATAAGCTGAGCGAAGCGCGTAAAACATAGGGTACGTTCGAGCTACCTAATAATTACAGCAATACAGCTACTGTGTTGCATATTTGCTGATACTCTGCTGATATGCAGACAAAAATCTAGTGTTGCCGAATATTTGCATAAATTGCGTGCGAAAAGTGACAGTAGAACGTGATGCTGTTGCAAGTGTTGCCACAAATTCACGCAGAACGTGATATTATATTTTGACAAATTTGCAACACTGCTAACGTAATTGCCATCTCGAACGCACCCAAATTCTTTACAGAACGTGAATTTTCGTAATAAAGTTGAACGATTTGTAAACTTTGTTGAGACGTAAATCTTTCCATAATTGCCAAACAATACTAAACAAAAATAACTTGACACCTTGACACGATCCGCGTGATCTGCCAAGAAGCGGCTATTAAAAAAAGTACCTCTATTTAGATCACCCGTTACAAAGAAAATATACGTGTTAGATTTCTTTTCTTAGAGACATTGACTCTACATACATATCTATATATATAAAAATTAAACCCGTTTCCCGTTGTCACGCCATAACTTGAGAACGGCTAGACCGATTTGGCTGTTTTTTTTTGTAGTTTTCTAATACTCTGTAGAAGGTTCTTACGGAAAAAAATATTAAGAAAATGTCTTAGAAAGATTGAAAAAATACATTTAATTTTGTATATTATAAAAAACACGCGTAACGAATGTCATCGTCATTCACAGCCATAGTCTATATTGAAAGAGCATCATTTGTTCGGAAATGTGGTTACTTAATTAAATTTCCACAATTAAATGTACCGACTTTGACGGTAATATTAATAAAACATATAACTAACAACTAAGGAAGGGCTAAGTTCGGATGTAATCGAACATTTTATACTCTCGCAAAGTCAAATGGTATACTCGTTTGAGATTCGGTAGAATGTCAACTATAGGCATTGGGGTCCACATATTTAGTACTTAGGGGATTGAACAGTTTTGGTTCGATTTAGACAATTTTTGGTCACAAGGTGGCATACTTTAAACGTATTATTCACGCAAAGTTTTACCCCAATATAATCATTTTTTTTGCTGGACATGCATAGTGGAAAGTGAAAGGATCAGATGGAATTGAAAATGGTGTTATATAGGAAATAGGCGTGGTTGTAGTCCGATTTCGACTATTTTCGCACTGTAATATAGAAATCTGAAAAGAGCGTTATGAAAAAAATTTGGTTGAAATCGGTTAAGCAGATCCCAACATATGGGTTTTCACCTAAAAGTAGGCTGTGCCACGCCCACTGACTAATTTTGAACGCGGTTCCTATAAAGTCATCTCATACCATCCCAGAGATAAAATTTAATGTTTCTGGCGTGTTTAGTGCTTGGTTTATCGCGCTTTTAGTATTTTTTAACAGTACCGTTATATGGGGAGTGGGCGGGCTTGTCACTCGATTTCAACTATTTTCACATTGTATTTAGAGGTTCTAAGAACATTTGCTTCCAGTGAATTTTGTTATTATAGCATTTTTTTTTTTTTGCTGGTGAGGGGGTGGAAAATGCCTTCCGCATCATCAGTGCTGTCGTCACAGCAACGGGCCACTTGCAGGTCACTAAAAACCCCCCCTCTAGGGAACCG